CTCTGGCGAGAGTGATCTCGCCGACCTCAAGTCGTCCCTCGTCAACGAGTCAGAAACCAACCAGAGCAGCTCGTCCGACTCGGAGGTGAAACGAGCGCGCCGCGGTGGTGGTGGTTGTTGTTGTTGTCGATGGTGGTGGTGGTGATGTGTGTGGGGGGAATACAGAGCCGGAAAAAGACACAAACAGCCTCGGTGAAAGAAGCCACGAGAAAAGTTTGTGTGGCAAGGCGTCGTGTTGTGTGTAACAGCGAACCGGTGGCAGCACACAAAAGGTTGCTGTAAACTTTAGCGGCAAGCGAACAACAACAACACCACACAAACACGTCGACTACGAGGAGGAGGTTTCTAAGTCTGTTGTTTGGCGAAGGCGGCGCGCCGCCACGACATCTTTTGTCGGGAGCCGCAGAGTTCGAGTTTCTTTCCCCCGCTCACTCCCCTTGTGTAATGTAACACACACGTAGCATCATCATCATCTTCGTCATCATTGTAGCCTACATCCAACACACACACTCTACAGTTATACACTAGTAATAGGTTCGTACTTTCTTCGGAGTGTGCGGCCGTGATTTCCTTTTGTTTGTCTTTTCGCTGAGCCAAGCGACTTTCTTTGTTGCTGCAGAGACTTTTTTCCCCCCTTGTCCCAGTTGCGTGGTTGGTGGTGGGGGGCAGGAGAGTTTGTGAGCTTTAAAAGTTGGTGGTGTGTAAGGCGGACGCGCTGTCGCTCTTCCCCCCCCCGCCGCCGCCTTTACCCCCTCGCTGTGGTGCGAGGTACAAAAAAACCATCACCGTCGATCTATGCCCCCCCCCCCCCCATTGTTCCTAACTCGTTCGTCTGCCCCCCCCCATTGTTCCTAACTCGTTCGTCTGCCCCCCCCCATTGTTCCTAACTTGTTCGTCTGCCCCCCCCCCCCCCATTGTTCCTAACTCGTTCGTCTGCCGCCCCCCCCGCCCGCCGGCCGGGTCCGTCCACCGCAGGCCGAGAGACCCCCACAGTCGCGACACGCGGAGCCCTACCGGGACAAGAGTCGCGAGCTGCTGCTGGAGGAAGGTGAGAGACGGGGGGGCGAGGGGGGCTCACGGCGGGCCACTCCAGTCGCGAAGTTGACGCCGGTCGTCGTCGGCATGGCCTCGGCCGCACCTCTTGCAGCAGCACCAGCGGCAGCAGCAGCAGCAGGAGACAGCCGTAAAGACTTCTGCAGTCGCATTCCTCAGTCGCGATGATAATGGCCATAGCGTGCTGCTGCTCCAGTTCGTTTGTCGCCCACTCGGAAAGTGCTACCGCCATCAGCAGCACCCACGCCGTTTACAATAGCGAGAACAAGCGCATGCATCTGCAGTGAAGTTTTAGTGGACAACAACAACAACGATGATTATCGTCACCCCCCCCCCCTACTCTGGCCACCAGGCATTCGCATCTTGCGGCACCACAGTAGCATCGACCCCACCATCACCCGTGCAACATCAACCACGCAACATGAACCACGCAACATGAACCACCACCTCCCCCCCGCCCACACGATAGAGAATGCACTCGTCAATGCAACTCACCGGTGGTAATTCTGTCAAGTGACTGAGGCTTTGATTGGATCGGCGCTGCCCGTGGTGGGATGAACTTTTGTTCAACTTTTCTTTAAAAAAGTTGCGAACAACAACAACACCAACAACCGCCGCCGCCGTCGTCAAGTCGCTCTGCCGAGTTGCGCGAGTTGACTTGAGGACGAGCGGCAAGAGACGGGGCGAGGGATTGTTGCCCGCTCTCGTCGTTACTTCTCTAACGCTCTCTCACTGTGGGCCGTGTGTGTTGTGTTGTCTGTGTGCGTGTTGTCTGTGCGTGGTGTGTGTTGTGCGTGCCTTGTGTGGTGTCTGGTTTGTGCCGTGTGTGTTGTGCGTGTTGACTGTGTGTTGAGTGTGCCGTGTGTCCGTGTTGTGTGTTGTTGTGTGTGCCGTGTGTGTGCGTGTTGATTGTGTGTGTTGTTGTGTGTGTGCGCCTCGGCCCGCCATGTTTCCCCTGTAGCGGCCAAGAGGCAAGATGGAGGAGGGCTCTTCAGGGGCCCGCCATACCCCGGCTACCCCTTCTTCATGTTCCCGGACCTCGCCAACCCTTACCTGGCCAACGGGTCCCTCTCTCCCAGTGCTCGATCGGTACGTCCTAAATGCCGCTCCTCCTGCCTCCAATGTTGTTCCGTCTGCGACCACCACCTCCATCACCCCACTCTCGCTTCAATTTACATCACTGCACTCCCAGGGGGGGGGTCTTCACTTTACTCATCGTCAACTTTCTTTTTAAGTTGTTTTGTTGCTGCTCAAGTGGGGTTTTTGTTGTTTGATTTCCCGCATGAGACATTAACTTTGTGCGCGAGTTTTATATTCGCCTCCTTGTGCCCTGATGGCCTTAATAGGTGTTCGCAAACCTGCACGAGTTGGGATTACACGTGGCTGGCTGGGGGGGAGGAATCTTTATCTTGATAATTTTATTGCGTTATTTTATTAATTTATCATTTTATTCTCATTCTACGTGACTTTACCGAAAGAACCAAAGAAGATTCTTTATCTTCTTCGTTTGCCGTGGTGGCCTTAAGAGGTGCTCGCTAACATCCAGGGAGGAATATTTAGTTGTGTGCAGCCTGTGTTGTATATAAACTACTTTAGCGATCTTAAGCGCCAGTACCGGCCTTCATAGGTGCAATTGTGTAAAGAATATACTTTACAGGCTATCTTTAGATGTAGTTTTACCCTGTGTGTGTATATATAAAAATGTGTGTGTGTGTGTGTATATAGTGGGGTGAGGTGGTGTAGCGGTGAGCGCGTTGCGCTACGAATCCGGCCAACATAGTTCAATTCCCGTTCACGGCCAACACCGCAGACGATTTTCTCGATCCGGTCCTGGGCCTCCGCGTCCAGGTCGACTCGGCCTCAAACGAGTACCCGGTGCGATGTTGTACAAACATCGCCACTAGAGAGACAAAGGGGTAGCCGGGAGTGGTGCCACCCACCCACTCGTGTGTGCCGTGCCGGCCTTTTTATAGTTGACCCCAACAGTCTGTTCAGGATCTTTGTCTCTTGTACATACACTGTGTAGTATATATGACGCTTAAAACATGTTCACTCGGGATGGCGGGCATGCCAGCATGTTGTTGTGTGCGTGTTGTGTGTGAGCGCTCGGACCGTCGTCGTTGACATTGTCTTCATTGTGTCTTCCACGTGCGCTGGTGTGCCCGCCGTGTGAATTGTGCGCCCGTGTTTTATGCACTCGTCACGTGTTCGGTAACCGTGTACATGCATTGTAGTATTGCATTAAAACAACGCGCAAATAACACACATACATATACACCCCCCCCCCCCCCCCCATGGGAATTGAGAAGCGTGGTCAAAATTGTGTGTAAGTGTGGTTTTTTAAGGGTTGGACAATGTGAAGAATGTATGTGGTTAGGGGTGGGTTCCGGCCTTCATAGGTGCAACTCGATACCAACACTTGCCCCAACAGTCAGTTATGGCTATGCGGGGGCGGGGGGTCTTTGTATAGGTTTTAAGATTTACAATTTGTGTGATTTATTTTTAAAAAAATCTAAAACAACAAGTCCATTATGGATGGGAGCATGTTTGAATCCACTTGCGGCAAAGTAAAGAAATAGGAGTGCGTCACTTGTATTTAATTGTAGACTTGTTAACTATGTAAACCCACAATGAGTAGTCCTATAGCGAGATGTATGTACATATACTATATACCGTAATGACTGCAGTACTCTACATATGTTCGTTGCTGCAGAAGGAGATCGACGGAGAACGTCTTATTTGTTTTTATTTAGCCGTTTGCCAATAACGCCTTTATATATAGATATGTTCAAGTACTGTACCGTACGTACACGTGCAAGGGAGTTGCACATTGTAAAGCGGGAGTCTTTTAATTGGTAAATAAAAACGAGCGGTCCGCGTGCGTGTTTTTGGGGGGCCCGCCCGGCGCTTTTTATCGACTTGAGCGTCACACTCCAGGTGAAGGCGAATTACTCGGTTCACCCTCCTGTAATTTGTAGCGATTAACGCAAGGGCCAAAGCAATTCACGGAGAGACGCACCGTCGATTGAGACTGTGTGCCCGTGTTGGAGTTCGTTAAAAGTCATTGATCATCATCGTTCTAAGTGGGGCAACATCTAAAATGTGCCGGTGGGTTGTTGCAAGATCTCGGTTTCATTTCTTGGGGGGAGTGGACTGTTCTAATTTATAAGCGTCGACTCGGACTCTATTTGTGGCGATTATTAATTTCTAACCCACCCCGAGAGTATGAAACGGGTGTATAACGTTACACCAGTGCCGGTTTGTGCGTGTGAATTGTGTACACACATCGGGGTGTGGGTGTTGTGTTGGTGTCTCCGTTGTAAGGACGCGTGTGTGTACACATATATAACTAAACACAACACGTTCATCAACAATACTGTGGTCTTAAAAAAAAAATCGACAACGTTTCAGGCAATGGCCCTTAATAGAACGTGTAACAACACGGTAATTTGAACTCTGACCAGTCTCGAAACTATATACATATCGTAGCGGCAGTAATCCCAGATGCAATACTAACGCAGCTTTTGCATACTATAATTCTGGAAATTATTACTCGTTTGTCATTGTGTTATGTTTTATTACCGTACAGTAGTATACTTTATGGGTGGCATTTCAGTTTATTATCGTGTTATTGTTAATCGTAATACCGCTTATGATTTCGCTGCTGCTATCATTGACATAGAACTAGTGTGTAACCGACAGGTAAGAAGTTTTCAAGGTAGACTTATCACCCACAATTTAAGATTTTAATACTTTGTCTTGAGCAATACGGCACAATAAAACAAAATTTGCTGCTTCCACTTATGGACAAGTAATTGCGACGCGTTTGTGTCTATTAAATTTTTCATCCACTGTTACGATGTTCTTAAGCCAATGTACATTGATCCCTGCAGTGTTTGCCTGCAGTGTGTATCTGTATAACATCACAATACAATTTCTCTCCATTCTGTCATTCATTTGAATCATTGCGTTAGTTTGTAGGTATTAGTACACACGTATGTACAAATGTCCCGGTGTGTATACCTGTTATCACCCAACATGTGTTATTAGCCAATATTGGAGAGATTATCAGATGTTTTATCCGCATGAGTGCAGATGCTAATGATTACACTTTCCTGCCCTGTGCCAAACATTATTTTATTCTGGAATTATTCAAACATACATCTGATGGGATTGCATTCCAAGGCATGGAACACACACAAAGTACATTTTGATGAATTAGACAGCCACTGTTTCGGCACCGTTTTATGAAGTATGTGTGTGCGCTTATACCAACTATACGTGTGTGTTTGTGTGTACACGGACCTCTGTGTATTTACCCAAAGAATCAGCGCATTTGTTTGCCGATCTAAATTAAATTCACCCAAGCCCTCTCTGGCACAGTTGGGTTGAGATTGTATCATAAGAAACCCCGCCTCTTCCTTAGCCCACTTAAATACCTTAATTATGTTAATTGGTTTGTTAATTGCATGTGCCATTGCCCGTGTATGTGTGCGCATACTGGCGCGCAATGGGGAGCGGTGGGTGTAGTGGTTAGCGCTCCGAACCGAGTGACAAAATATCGATTTCCACACACGGCGAACATTCGTGCGTCAATTTTCAAACCCATGCTGTGCCTCCTTTAGGTCGACTCAGCCTTAAGTAAATACCTGGCTTTACGTAAGCCGTCCTGGCCACCCACCGCCCGAAGTATGCAATTAACTGTATTTGCCCAAACAATCTGTAGGCTATACATAGGGGGTGGGTATCTTTGTGTGTACACTATATAAGTGTCTATCTTGTATTGTAAGTGGACATACAAGATGTCTAGAAATCGTGTACATTTCTTAGGAAATTTTATTTTTAAGGTACTGCTCTGAGAATTCCTTTATTTTAGTAGATAATTAAAGGATATAACTATTTAGAGTTGACATGTTGAGCAAGTAGACACACGTTTACTTTTCAAATTGCATGACAATAGCCACAGGCGGGTTTTAACGACACACACCCACTTTGGATTGATATCTGGCTACTCAACGACTGCATTGACTAAACTAAAATACTGTGTACGTATGCAATACCACCTACGGCTAATAACATGAGCGAAAACTAGCCGGATGCAACTAAACATTTATTTTACGTTGCCTGCGTATGTATCCACACAATTTTGAAACGCATATCTGCGCACCCCCCCCCGCGCCTCCCGGCAAGTTCTGCAAATTTTCCCGGTCCATCAAAATAATTTTCGCCAACAATCAATTGAATAACAATGGCGGTGGTGCGCGTGTGCGCGCTACAATAAAGATGCCATTCATTTTTCGGGGGTTGCATCTGCATGTCGGCTTGTGGCACACTGGTGCCTTGTTGTTGGTGGCGGCGGTGGTGGTGGTCGTCCGTGGGAACGCTTTTGCTCGCGGTGCAGCCCTCGCGTGTTGGTACGGTAGTGCCAGGATTTCTCCGTGCGGTGCAGAGGTGGAGACCCACGGGGAGCGGGGGGGGGGTCGATGTGCGGATCTCACAATTTGTGTAACTAAAATCTCGTGCTCCGCTTTAGTTCCGCTCGCTCGAACCCGGTTTTGTCGATGTCTTTGCCTGGAATAGTTTGCAAATAAAAAAAACATCCCAGGCATAATCTGTGCTTGGTCACGATGTCACAACTTTACGTCTGGGAATTTAAAACGTGCGCGAATGACATTTGTTCATTGACCACACTCGTATAACTGTTTGGTGTCATCCTCCTTAATTGAAGGTTTATTTCCATAGCAGACACTTTCCATCTTTGGCGACCTTGAACTGTACAACTGTGTTATGTGCGAAGAAGAACGGCCATTGCCTGAAACGTTTCCGATTTTGGACGTTTCTTTTTACGGCCACAATGTTGAGTGCGGTTTTTGTTGTTAATTGGGCTTGTACACCATTGCCTGTGCAGCTGCAGGATTACCAAATAATTTATGTAGAACTGGTGGTGGTGGTGGCTCTATCAATACCTTGTTACGCTCATTTGTTTTATAGCTAGTTTTTTTTTAATTAAGTTCCATGTGTAGAGAGCCTGCGCGTACACACAGTGCACGCGTTGTTGCAACGGTTCCACTCCTGTTGAGCTTGTGCAG